GTTTTGCCGCGAAGGCGCATCGAAAACTGTCGTCTTTAGTGTGCTTCCGAGTCGCCCAGTGTGGGGAAATTGGACAACAGGGCCGTACTTGTTCTCCACTCAACTCTTAGCGGCTGCTCTGCTAAATTAGAAAGAGTGGAGGGCTTTGTGAGAGCCGATTTTGTTATTCTTGCAAGTAACCTTCTTTAAACCAAAGTTTTCTGTAGCTTTTTTATGTTGGTGAGTGAGATGGATCATGTTATAGGGCGGGTTCATATGAACCCGCCCTATAAGCAACTTGCACCAAACTGATCTTTCTTTTAAATTTATCTGAAAAACGGCAACAAATGTAACGAGAGACCCAAGTCTGGCAAAGCATCGCGATAAAAGCGATACATTGTAAATGTATTTCAGTACTGAGATACAAATACATTTTTCAAATATATCTCGATACAGAGATAGATGCTCGAAAGTATATCTCTAATATACTATCGCGATACGTTTGTATCGCGATACTTCCCAGAACGCAAACAGCGGCGTAGACTTTCCATTTTCCCCGGGGGGGGGGCGTTATCTTTTCGCCAGACCTGGAGATTGAAGCTAACGAAAGCACGCTGGGATTCAATTTCCCATGTACTTTGTCAATAAAGGCAACGTGGACGTTTATTTACATGTCGCTGCTAGAAGCTCGTTACATGGCACGTAAACAGCGTCTCGGTGAGGATCATGGCCCGGAGTCAAGGGGGGGGGGAGGGGGGGGGGGGGCTCTACTCCCCCAGATTTCACCAGGAGGAGGGGAGGCTAATCCGAATGGCATTTTTGTGAATGAGACAAATAAAGCTTATCGGGTATAGACGCGTGATCCTTGGCCAAAGCTTTTCAAGAACGTTTGGTCTCTCCTCTCCAGGCATCGACTATCGCTTTGATGAGTCCCAAGACCATCCGATTTCCGATTTACGCCCTTCTTCCGATTTGTCGTCTTACGATAGTTATTTTTGCAACTATAGCATTGCAACTTCCCCCTGCGACATCAAAAGAATGCATGTACGTGTCCCAAGGGAGAACACCAACAGGTGGACGCAGTGCTCGGGTCAATCGCTGTACCCCAGGATTGCCCGACCCCTGTGTTCCGCCACATGCTGAGAGATTTGCTAGTTGCAAACTAATCTTTAGTTTTGTGTTTTGA